TTCACCAAATTTTAAAATTAAAATTGGTACTGACTGATAATAGGTAAATAATAAGTGAAGATGAAAAATAATTTATGAGAATTCCGATTCAAAAAATTAGTATTAATTTTCATGTGCGAAGTTGAATGACATCAGATTATGACAAAATTTGCCTGAATAACTCAGTTTCGATCAAATTATTTGAAATTCAATATATAGTCGTCCAGGCAAACAGACCTAATGGTTCACTATAGGTTTTATGAAACCAGTACCCTACCCCCCACTTGAATGCATATTTCAACCATTATGATCTTTTCGAAATGATGGGTTTTCACCAAAATGTTTGTTTCAGAAAATGTCTCGGAAAATGCTGACTGAAAAGAATCGACGCACATACATATCGCCAGCTACTTTTAGGAAAAATTTACAAAAACTACCCTTCGCTGCTGGATAGAATCATCGAACGAAATTTCCAGCAGTTCCCCTTGCCCACTTGAAAATTGGAATAGTACAGGGTGATTCACCATAAATGTCCCCCCCTCTAGCTCAGTTATTTTTGAACCGATTTTAAAATTTGAAATATCATCTTGAATGATTTTCGATAAAGTTTTTTTCCGCTAGATCAGAAAATACAGGGTGCTCGGAACAAACGATCTACAGGGTACTATTTGATTTTTTTAAATGAAACACCCTATTTTTCATTGTATTTTTAGATTCTCCCTGAAGAGCTGATTTGATCAATGTATCACACTTGGGGTCTAGCGGGACTGATTACAGAGATAAAGGGTGTTCAAAATCGAGATTTTTAACTTTAGAATTTTTTTGTGACGAAACTATTCATTATCGGTCACGCGGTTTTCATGTCCGTTTCTTAACTTTTAATTTACTATCTACTGACATTTAATAATTGGAACAGATACAGGGTGACCAGAATTCTGAATCTTGAACCACCCTGTAAATGTTCCAAATAGATTTCACTAGATAGTAAATCAAAAGTTGAGATGGGAACATAGAAGCCGTTTTGACCAATAATGAATATTTTCGGCACAAAAAAATCCTAAAGTTGGAAAATCTCGATTATAAACACCCTATATCTCTGTAATCATTCCCGCTAAACCCCTAGTGTGATGCATTGATGAAATCAGCTCTTCAGGAAGAATTTAAAAATACAATAAAATACAGGGTGTTCCATTTTAAAAAATCAATTAGTACTCTGTAGATCGTTTGTTCCGAGCACCCTGTATTTTCTGATGCAACGGGAAGAAAATTTCTGAAAATTCATTTTAGATTATGTTTCAAATTTTTAAAACGGTTCAAAAATAAGTGAGCTAGAGGGGGGGACATTTATGGTGAATCACCCTGTACATATTTTTCATCAAATCTTTCCGAATAACACCGTGCCTTCATATTTGCACAATCAGTTTATAGATGAAAAACTCATTTTCGAAGTTAATACTCTCAATAATCAATCACTTTCATCGAATAAAACTTTCAGTATGAAAAAAGAGATTTCAAAATCCTGAGGAAGTTCGGAGTTTGGGGAAGTTAGAGGAGTTTTGGAAACTTCGAGGAAGTTTGGGGAAGTGCAAAGAAGTCTGGGGAAGTTTGAGGAGTTTTTTCACATGGGAAGTTTGATGTACAAGTTTTTGGTACGTGGTTACCCCCTCAGAATGACTAATGAGTATCAACAGAACAAAAAGTTTATAGTCGCCATTAGAATTGTCACAAGTGTATTTTAAGCTTTGAATAAATTTTCATTGTTTTTTTATTGTCATCAAACTCTAGTATTAGAGTTCACCAGAGTCGGTCGACTTCTGGGAGAGGCCCAGTCGAACTTGAGTTTTTGCGGTCGACTACTAGATTTCTATACATTTTATTATTCTTGAGTTTTTATAAAATTAACAGTAGGTATTCAATATTTTAATACAGTTCAATCTTTTGAAAGAAAAAATGATTATCAATGATTATGATTCGATTTGTTTTCGGGGTTGAATGAAAAATACGAATGTTTGAAGATATTGTCAGTGTCCCTGACACTGCAGCATAGATGTTGAGTGCGACTATAATGAGCAGGAAATGCGAAAAATCCTGAAAACCGATAATTTGTTGGTAATTTCATCAAGCGATAACATTGCTAATTCAATGTCAATTTGGGGACAAATTCGATGATACACCGGAAGAAGCTGGTACTATAGTTCAATTCCCAGTAAATCGAATCACTCCTATAATTCTATTTCATTATATAACCATTCACGGTCAGGGTGACATGCGAAACCCAGTGGCATTACAAAGAGGGTAAAAAGGGTCCCATTTTTGAAAAGAGATCATGCCGAAAAATTTTCTTTTACGACGACCTAGCGCGAAATGAGAATGTTCGCCAAAGAACAAATCATTGAATGGCGAATACACCCACTCTAATTTGTACTGAATTCATATAGGCTGCTATGACAATGAAAAATCTACAAATCAGTTGATGAACAGTGTTTCTACACATTGTTATAGTACCTAGTTCAAATTACATTCAATTACATATCATTTATTAGGTGAATATCTACTTATAATTTGTGCAAAGTTTTCATGATTCTGAAAAAAACATGGAATGTGCTTCCGACGATGAAATATAAGATTCTACTCCCCCAGAAATGCTAAAAGCTTCTCTGAGGTTGTTTTATTGGCCTAAATTGGAGAATTGGGAAATAAGTATAAGCCAAATACCTTCTGGTCAATTAATTCTATGATAAGAACATCATTAATCGCTAAACATAATGTGAACATTGGGTATTACCTGAAATTGAATGCGGTACTGAAAAGACGATCAGTCGGGTATGAACCGAAAAAATCAAATACTTTAAACCCCCAACAAATTGAACATCATATGGATACTTTTTATTATGTTCTAGTTCCCACGAAAAGGGATATCCTGTAATGTTCAGAGAACATCGTGAGAACCGAGGGATATAAGGTTGAAATTGGTGTTTTTAAATTTCTGGAGGTTATAAAAGCCTCAAAGAACACCTCCCTTGGCAATGTGTTCCAGAGCCTCGCTGTTCGTTGGATGAACGAGTCTCTGGAAAGAGATGTTCTGCAGGTCTCCAAAGTGACCATGAAGGGGTGCGATGCCTCAATTCGACGAGTAAATCTCGCGGGGACTGCCAAGGGAGGAACAATTGTTGATATTTCAGAAGAGCATCGTCCATGAAAATATCTATAAAATAGAGCCAGATCGAGAACTCTTCAACGGTGTTCCAGAGAAGTGAGTGAGTTTGTGAGCGAGGCATCACTCACGAGACGAATTGCCCTTTTTTTTGGCAGAATCCAACATTTTCAGGGTATGTTTGGGTGCTGCATTCCAAATATGGGAACAGTATTCCAGGACAGGTCGGATCTGTGCCTTATAGATCATAAGCAGCTGACTGGAAGTGAAATAGATCCTGGCCCGAAACAGAAAACCAAGTTTTGGGATGCACTTTTAGCAATTGATCTCACGTGCTTTTCCAAGAAAGGTTATTATCTGTTGGTATCAGGTAGGTCGTCGGAAAAGTATAGTGTGAAACTCGTGCGGAAACTGATTATTTCATACTCGTGTGACAATATGATGAACCACTCGCCCACGGTTCGTGTCTTGTCACGAACTCGTATGAAATAACTCATTTTACGCAGTATAATTGTACAATATACTATTCTCCATACGGTATAGAATGTGGCGTTTCCATATGACACTTATTAATCCATCAGCAACACTCTTTCATGGGATTCAGATCCATCGCAAAAGCAGCTTAACAAAAACTCGGATTCTTGTTCCGTGCGAAAAGCTACTTTACACCTCAACAGCTTCTCATGATCTACAAAGCGCAGATACGGCCTGTTCTAGAATACTGTTCCCACATATGGGGTTCAACACCAAAACATACGCTGATGCTCTTAGATTCCATCCAGAGAAGAGCCATTCGCCTGGTGGGTGACGCCACACTCACTCACTCTTTGACATCATTGGAACACCGTAGAAAGGTCGGCGACCTTTCTCTTTTCTATCGATATTTCCACGGGAAATGTTCTTCGGAAATCTCTGCTATCATCCCTTCACTAGAAATACCAATCAGACGAACTAGACAAGCCCAGTCAGCGCATTCTTTCGTTGTCAACCTCGAAAGATGTCGAACAGCACTTTATCAAGACTCCTTTAATCCATAGAACGGCTAGGCTCTGGAATTCATTGCCTGTGGAAGTATTCCCAACAACATATAATCTCCAAAAGTTCAAAAAAAATTCCAATACTTACCTCCTGTCCCTATCCTCCCTAGGGACGCATGTTCTTTGAACATTAAAGGGATTCCCTTTCGTGCGCTCCAAGCGATAAAAAAAAATAACAGGCCTAGGAACCAAAAACAATTTGAATGAAATTGGTGATCAAAATTAACACTGACATTGGGTGAACATAAAATGATGGAGTTATCCATAAAAAAATTACACAAAATTAGTTTTATCACATTTTGAGAAAAAAATATATCATGTTTCACATGGCAGCAAAGTAGATTGACTGCCTTAGCTGATTTCCTAAACTATCCTCCCTCTGCTACGCTTCGGGAGACAACACAACCTGGAGCTAAAATCGACTACTACTTTTTTCCCTTGTACCTATAATAAATACCAATTTTTTTTCAAATTAGCGAATTCGTAGTGTCTTGATAACGAAATAATTTTTTCAAATTAGCGATAACGAAATAAGTAGAATACCTGAACCATGCTCCGAAGGCTTTCTTTGTTTTGGAAGGAGGTTGAAAAAATGCTCTCAAGTACCTAATACCAAATCGTTCAACAAAAACTGCAGATATTTTAGTGAAGAGCAAATTGAACAATATCATGGTTTGGCCACAATTTCAGAATAGATGAGAATGTTTAAAAGTTGAATTGAATTTTTGATTTTATGGCAGAGGTTCATGAAGTGTTGGTCACGCCACTGGAGTTCGTGTCTGCCGGATATAAAAAGGAGTTTTAATTAATTTTCCTCATTTGAAAATCTGTCGCAAATAAGCCTAAGATTGGAAGATGTTGCCTAAATTGTTTTTTGTAGTTTTTCTATCGGTGACTTTAGTTGTTCTTGTTCTTGGGGTAAGTTTTCTCCAATTAGTATTTTCTTCTCTCTGCTCTTAAGTGAAAACAATATTTTACACAATAATAATTTTTAACTGTTGTTTTGTTCAGGCTCCTAGGGCAATCAAAAACGAAGAAGACTTGAAAAAGAGCGTTGTAGAATTTCTTTCTCAAGATGAAACATTTTTATCAGCATTGGAGAATTCTGCAGTATTGGGTAAGACTTCAAACAGATTATACAAAATAACAGGAGCAATAATCGACTCTACCCATACAGAGTGTCTCTAAAAGGTCTGTACAAAATGCTAACGTAGAATTCTGGAACTATAAAAAATATGTGAATTTTGCCTAATTCATTTCAGTTCAATGGTTATTATTCTGATAATATTATAGTATAATTCGCTAGGAATTTGGTACTGAGAGTTTTTTAGGAATAATGAATCGAAAGCAGCACATCTTGAGCTCATAACTTTTTCATAGCTCTCTGTGTCCATTTTTATTTAGACTTGTAAACAATATTTAGAACTCTCCTCTATATCTAATAGTATCTCGCTGAATTTTTCCAATTTGTGGAACGTTTTTGAGGGAACATTTTGTTTCCCTATATGTCATATTATCTGTTTGAGCTTGGTGCTTTTAGAGACACCCTGTATATTTGATAGAAGACTCAAGGGTCTCATTTTATGTTTCCTCATTACCAAAAGGCAATATTTTGCAGAGATCAATATGTATTTCTTGTTTTGAAGAGTCCGACTAAATATCAACGCCCTGTATATATATTTCGGATTCGTAGTGATAAAGCTCAATACCTATTCTGGTGATGCAAACTGAAGCAATCTTCCTAATTTTTTGCGGGCATCTTTTTTTGAAAATGAATTCAAAGAATTTTCCGTTACTTATACCTAATTGAGAAGAATTGTCAGTTGTGAAATAATTATTTTAATTTTTTTCAGTTGATCGTCCTATGTTAGTAAGACACAGAAGGCAGTCAGAGGCGAATGGAATGGATATTGATAGCATTGATAACGGGACAGTTGAAGAAAAAGAAGGTTTTTTTGACAGGGCTGCTAAATTTGTGGTGGACCTCCTACAACGGTTTCTCAAATGGATTAATACTTCAGATAGCAGCTAGACATATCCATCAAAATTCAATTTGTACCTAATTTTTCGAAAATAATATATTAAAAAAGTGATATATAGAGATTAATAAATAAGATCTGATTTTATTTCACAATCTATCATTTTGACAGAATTTCTAATTTGAATGGAAATATATGTATCGCAATTTTTTACAATTGTCTCTGCAAAATATTGCTTATTACCTATCGATGTTTTTCAATTATTGTTCTTTAGTTGATGGAGTTTTTCAGATGAAAGTTTTCATATTGTGAAAAAAAGGCAAACAGATAATGATGGAAGAGACAGTGGGAAAGATGAAGAAGAAGGAATTTTCAGGAAAGCAATGAAATTCGTTGTGAAATTTTTGTTAGCTAGAATAACCGAAATGGCTGCGAATTGGTTCATTGGCTGAAATGAACTTATTGATTGTTATTGTATAAAATAAGCAGTTGTGATGATTTATAGAAATTATGTAATTAACCATAAAATCAGAATGTTTATAATTAAAAGCGTCTGATAACTGATATTAAATGTTAATACATAATGAATTGAATAATTCTGATTACAAAAGAATAGTGAAATATTAATAGGTATAATAATAAAGTTAGAGCAATAAAAGCAGTTTCTTTTCATAGTACTAGTAGTATATGTACTTCATTGGTATGTATGTACAAACCAACTGGCCATCGACCTTACGAGAGGTCCTTCAGCCCTTGTGTGTTCTGTGTAGGCCTCCTCACTAACTCCATATGCTATTTTCAATATATTTAGGTTTAAATAACAATACAATGTGGGAGAACTGATGGCATTTTCAACTCCTTTCAACTCATTGAATCAGTTTCACCACGTTTCAACATCCACCAATATTATTAGATCGAAATCCTTATAGGCGAGTTTTCAAACAATTGAATTGATTTTTTATCGTATCGCTTCATATAGGACAATTAAGAAAAGATGACATTTGGCAACCTGGCAGTTACGGGAGAATAGGTGAAAGCCTATAATCAGTTTTCTCTTGCTATGTTGCCATTGACATACACTATGTGTAACGATTGGGCAAACATATTGTATAGAAAGTACGAAAAATCAATCATTTGATCAGATGATATAAAAAATGCCTATACACATTAATTTACATACCTTGGAAGTAGGAGAGGAGAAACATATCGCATTACAAACCTTGGGAGGGACCGGAAAGGCGATTGAAAACAATTATTCACCTTGATTTTCCCACAGGAAAATAAGTAAAGATGATAGAAAAAGAGTGGCGGTATACATATTGACTTACATTCCTAGGATGAGGAGCTATTCAGAATAAAATAGTTGATTGAGTTGAGAAAAAGTGCCTATATATTCCTAAACAAAAGCCACTTAACTATATCAAACAAAGTTTATAACCAATTATATGAATCTATTCAATTCCAAAATTAAAAATCTATGTACCTAGATATAATAACAATATAAAGGTATAGACAGGATATAACGAACAATGATTGTGGTATATGTGAAATTGCGTTCTGAAATTATCAAATTAAAAATTGCTTGTTATTTGTGAATATCTGAAGGACAATCTGCCTTATATCAGTCTATAATCTCACTTTTCGCCATTACTCGACCAGTGGTTATACTATCAGATCTGACAGAAAGATATAATGAAAATGGTTAATTCATTCGTCGCCATTGTTACTTTGATCTCTTTCATCAATCAAGTAAGTAATTATAGGATAGTGTTAGATATATTGTTTCACAATGCACATCATAAGTAGGTGATCATTAAAAATACGACTGCTGTAAATTATATTCCATTCTTAGGAATTTGTTTTTTTTTCGGTGAGAGAATTAGGTACATTTTTATAGATGTGAAATTTCGAATTTTGTCAATGCAGTTTTGTTTGAACTTTCGAACACCCTGTATAAGTCATACGTGGAAAAAAACAAAATTGACATAAAGTAATGCCAAATATATGCCCTATTTAAATCTATTAAAATGTCAAATTGTATCTGCGACCACTCCAAAATTACAGGGGTGGCACGGTTCTCGTCTCCACCCGGTATAATGAATTATTATTGGTACAAAAAGCCTGTAAGTACAGTAATATCCTCAATATGGAAATGTGTGCTGATAATTTTCAAGGTTACGAATATTGCTACAGAAATATTTTACATATGACGGAGTTTCATCTGACTCTCTTACCATAAATGCTGGTGTTCCGCAAGGATCAATTCTAGCACCAACACTATTTCTACTCCATATCAACGATTTGTTGGAAGCAACTTCGCGGATGATAGTACCCTCCATACTGCCTTCTCTTCCAGGGCTCCAATACCAGCCAGGCAAATCAGAAACGAACGAGGGAGAAATGTTGACAACATAAATATGGACTTGACAACAATTCCCGAATGGGGATCCAATAACTTGGTAGATTTCAATGCAAACAAAACACAAGCATGCCATTTCTCTAGAAAAGCCGATCTCACTGTGCCCAACATAAGCTTGTCAGGAGTAACCATACCTTTGAAGACACCCATTTCGATGCTTGGTATTACTATCAGCAATAACCTTTCGTGGGAAAATCACGTGAGATCAATTGATAAAACTGCATCCCAAAAACTTGGTTTTCTCTTTCGGGTCAAGAGCTATTTCACATCCAGTCAGTTGCTTATGATCTATAAGGCACAGATCCGACCTGTCCTGGAATACTGTTTCCATATTTTTACTGTTGGATTCTGTCCAAAAAAGGACAATTCGTCTCGTGGGTGATGCCTCGCTCACAAACTCGCACTCACTTCTCTGGAACACCGTAGAAAAGTTGGCGATCTGGCTCTATTTTACAGATATTTTCATGGACGATGCTCTTCTGGAATATCAACAATTGTTCCTCCCTTGGCAGTCCCCGCGAGATTAACCCGTCGAGTTGAGGCTTCGCACCTCTTCGTGGTCACTTTGGAGACCTGTAGAACATCTCTTTCCAAAGATTCGTTTGTTCTCCGAGGCATATAACCTCCAGAAATTTAAGAAGAACACCAATTTCTACCTTATTTACCTTGGTTCTCACGATGTTCTCTGAACATCACAGGATATCCCTCTTCGTGGGAACCCAATGGCGTACCCATATGCCAATAGAAAAACATCAGTTATAAACTCATAAAGTGAGAATAAGATGGGTTGAACTCTGGTGGGATCATTACATTCCACTTGGCCATAAATGATCAGAAATACTCTTATCATTTCAGTTTCATTATTAAAATAATTAGATACTGAACTGTGTAGCCAAATTGGTCAATTATGAATATGCCACAGAAATAAGTCAACATTTCTGCGAATAGTGCAAGCATGTTTTTTCAGTGTAGGTTGAATGTTATTTTACTGAGATATTCGGTCTTGGGCTGTGATTCCCCGATATTATTTAGTCAGTTCGTTCATTCTAGGATGTTCTAGGTAATGAGTTATTTATATTGAGTTATATCCCCCCCAAGGTACACTTCTGGGTACGCCACTGTGGGAACCAGAACATAAAAAAAAACTATTGATGGATTATTCATTATGCATCTGTAGCTGAAATTTAATGTATTTGTTTTTTCTCTGGAAAAAAGGCGAGATGTGGCTGTGAAAGACCATTGGAAGTTAGAGGAGTCGAAGATTATTGTTGGAACAAACATGTGGAAGTTGGCGAGAAAATCCAACAGGTGGAAAAAAAAGTTGTCAACTTCGCTAAAAGGAAGTTGGGGATGGACGTCGAAGAGCCAAGCCAACCTCAAAAAGTGAATAATATTATATCATGAAACAAAAATAGTAAAGTCTTATCAAAACTGTTCTTGTTTTTAGTGTGAATATTACTACTGCATCTTCCAAGAAATGAAACTGGTATGTATATACATCGTGAAATTGGTTTCTTTGAAATAATTTGATTTATTATTTTCGAAAGTTGAATCCAACTTATGACGTCCCCTGTATTGACAGAACATCAAAATGGGTGAAGAAGAATGTGATCTATGATCAAGCCTTGATTATATTGGACAGAATTCAAATGTGCACTGGAGAATTAGCAAATGCTACTAGTAAGATCACGTACAAATTTTACTACAAATAGCCAAATTACATACAGGGTGTTATTTCAGTACATGACCAAACTACAAGAAGCGATTTTTCAAGTGATTCTAGATGGAAAGTTTATATGACCATAGCATGAACAACTATAGTATCGAACTATTTGAAAAAAATAGGTTTTCCGTAAATCTAGTAATGGCTTAATTAGTTCCTATAGTTTTTCAAACTACTATTTATTTTCTACTTCTTTTCAGTTCGGTAATCTATCGATCTCTTTAGTTCTCTAAAGTACCATTTATCTTCTACTTCTTTTTAGTTTGGCCATCTATGAAAGCGTGTTTCATTAGTTTTTCGAAACACTATTTATTACAAATTTCGTTCGACATATTGAATCCGCCATCTTCAATTTTCTAATTATATCGGAGGAATCATAATCTCCGAACCCAAAAACTCCCAGAACTCAATTTTGAATAGACTCATTTTACATTTCCCGAACTCGTCCGCCATATTGGATCCACCATCTTGAATTTCTTAATTTTTTCTCTCATGAGAACCTTCTCCTGACAATAACAAACACAACAAAAAAGAATTAGTCAAATCGGTCAGGCCGTTTACGATTATATAAAATACATACAAACATTCATTTTTATACAGGGGTGAATCTCAGAAGTGGCTCACCCGTATAACTTTTTTGTTTATATAGGTAAACAAATGAAATTTGGTGTCAAAGTATAGTACATAAATATGCAATATTTGACGTATTCAGTTGTTTTCTGTCACTTCCGGTTTGACTGGAACTGACCCCTATTTTCTTATTTCAATCAGGACACCCGGTATATTTTCACTTATTTCGATAGAGAATAACATTGTAAGTACAATGACACCCTGTTTGCCACTTTTGACATTTATGATCCTGAAATTTCCATTTTTCCATTCTCGATCTAGAGTGCCATGAATGAGTTAAAACAGTTGATTTTGAATCATGTTGCCTAGGAAAAATAGTTTCGATGAAGTAATACTTTTTTCAAATGATACAAGGGTGTCTCATTATTATATCTGAAAAGAGGTATTTTATTTTGAACACGTTGATACCTTAAAATCGATATTTTGAATCAACATCCGGTATCATAATCGCTCTAGATTGAAAAATCACAATTTCAGGATGATAAATCTTAAAAGTGACAAAGTTGGGTGTCATAGTACTCACAATGTTATTCTCTATCGAAATAAATAAAATATATATACCGGGTGTCCCACTTAAAATAAGGGCATATGGGTAATTTCCGGTCAGACTGGAAGTGCGACTGTCATATATAATGTATATTTATGTACTATAGGTACTTGCACACCGAATTTTATTTGTTTATTTATAGAAACAAAAAAATTATAGGGCCACTTTTGAGAAACACCCGGTATATATAGGTTAGCAACATTTTTTCTGTTTTAGTGTCAGGTGGTTATTTCTTGGCTGGAAATGTTGGAAAAATTTCTGATGGTAAGCTACAAATATTTGAGGTTCCTTTATATCTTGTTTCCTATGTATTTCTCAATTTTCTTAGACCAGATTAAAGATGATTCTTCTGAGCCTCAATCTAAATGCGAAATCTCCAAACAATACATGGAATGTCTCTCCGTAGCCGACAAAGAAGAAGAGGTTAGTACAACTATAAAAGTACCAGTAGGTAATGATTTATACTGTTCATTATCAAAGAAACGATGTACTTTTTGATTTCTAAATTCATGATTGGGCAACGGTATCCCAAATATACTAAGGACGGTCCTGCCTAGCCCACATAAATATGAAATTTGTATGTGAACACTTTTTGATTCATTTCATAATAGAAATTCTCTGAGTTTTTTCGTATCTTGCTTAGTTTTGAAGAAAAGAAAAAAAGAGATCTATTATGAATCCAAATTCTAATGTAGGTTCATTCAAAACATCCATTGAGATCACTCCATATCCATTTTAGGTATAATTTGGAGATTTTGAAAATTTTTCAGCACTGACCATAATGAATTTTGGCATTAAGAAAGCTTATACAGGGTGAAAATGGAAAAAGCCCGAAACTTCAACACATATCTCGAAAACATAACATTATACACATTTTGGTTCTGTCGCTTTTCAAATTTTCCCGATCAGAATCACCCTGTGTATATATGATCACAAATTCAGGTGGTTTTTCTGAGCAGAAAAGCTACCCAATTTTTGAATAGAGATAGTGGTTTATCATCGATCAAACTTGACGAAAACAATTCTATCACCAAAAAATATTATTGGTAGAATAATATGATTACACTGAGAAAACTATTCAATCAATCATGCACCCTATTCAATCACCAGAATATAAAACTCAAACCATTTCAATAATCTCATTATCAATCATCCAAATATCACATTTTCTACATGATTATGATTGATTCATTTTTTTTTCAGTGTCCAATATTCCAGTATCCATAGTGTCTATATGAAGACATGAGACATGCAGTATCAATTGAGTTTGAAGCAAGATATATCAAGTTGTATAACACAGGAATAGCAGTAGTGCCAGTAGTACACTAATAAACTTGTTGAATAATATTAAACAACACTAAAATAATTCTAAAATGTATTTCCTTTATTAATTTAAAAATGTCTGTACTTTAAAAAAATATTCAAGTCACAAAATTGTAGATAATATAAAATAATATGATACATCGACCAGAAAGCAATTATACAATGATTATATCAATAATTTTCATACAAACTACCCCACACATTTCAAGCAAAAATTTTTTCCAGTATGGAACCGTCAATCATCATAACTTTGGATTGGATCAAACCAATTGGTAATTTCTTTCAAGATTCTAATAGGTCATTCCAATGAGTACACTATCAGTATTTTTTCGTTCCATAATTTCGAAATGATGACCTACAGGGTGATATCTGAAAGTGTGATAATTTTAGAAAAGTTTGAAGCTGTGGAAAAAATGCTGCTATTTTATTTTATGGAATGAGCCTAATAGTATATTATGTAACAAGTGTTATAAACGTCCTTTTAGTAACGAGTATTTTAAGCACGAGCGGAGCGAGTGTTTAATAAACGAGTGTCTAGAAGAGTTTATAAACGCGTTACATACTATGATTTTTCTACGAACTCCGAAAATTACATTAACATACCTGCAATTCCTGCTAACCTACAAAATAATTCGAAAGGAACATAATACATGCAACTGCATGCAACCAGCGAGACACGTATAAGTGATATTGGTTGTAGATGTGTCCAGTCCATTGCTTACTAACCTTTGTTTTACGTTCATTGTCATGCTTAGCGCAGAATAAATAAATTGTTCTCAAAGATGGATGCTTTATTTTTACACTTCTTGGAGATATGCAAGTACCAGAACATTTTCTTCGATTTCACTTTCGTCTACTTCTCGCATATATTTTTAATGAAGAATTCTGATACAAACGAATATTCTTTGAATGATTCTGATACAAAATTCGAAAATAAGAGTTGACAGTTAATACAATTGACATGCCAGACATATGTCTCAAATTACTGAAGCTGTGTTTAATGAACTGCGTTGCCATGGTAATGTGTTTAAGAAATCGTGTTGCCATGGTAACGTGTTTAATATTTTGAATTAATCACAGATCGACAATCTGTGATCAATCGATCATTTAGCGTGGTACATATCCGTACGCTAAATGCCATTTTAGTTATGTGAGTAGAAAAAGTATTATAGAATCATGAAAAAAAACTAAAAAGTGGTTGGTTCAAGAATAAAAGAAATCTTTGCTTGCCTCACTTCAAATGTGGAGCAGTTCATAAACATTTCTGATATCTATTTTTATTACATTTTCGATTGTTATGTTAGGTATATATTAAATGGTCTATCAAAGTGAGTACATTTTGTTCAACGGCATATATTATTGAGCAATAAAATAATCTGATAATAGGATAGGTACCCTTAATGGAGAATAAACTAAGTATAGTCCATTAAATTCTCTTTGTGGAAATAAATTCAGCTCCAGGTTGTCCATTATTATTGTCAAGTATATAATCTCTTTGGAAACGGACCAATCTGGTCAAGGCACTATGGAAATAAGGAACTTGTTTCCTATCATGATAATCCTTATATATCTCGTTGTTACTAACGAATTCGACAGCAACTCGACGTATAACGACAGTGAGAATTGTCAGCAAGTTTTCTGTATGAGACAGCCTGCCAAGTTCTTCGCACAGAACTGTGATGAAAAAGGACCCTGTATGAGTATTGCGAAAAGCATATTGACCTAAAAATAAAAGTTGAACATTGTTGAAGATATATCAATTCATTGTGCAGGAAAATTTTGTGCTGTCGATATTCTCATTGGTTCAAGAGACGTTTAACTGCCACCCTGTATACAGAATGAGAACGTACCTTCACATGTGGCATACATTATGAGAAAATCTGCCAAAACTGGAATTCTGTAGGGACTTCTTAGTCCATCGTGTTCAGTTCTGGATATTTTTCGGTCCACTAGTCTGATTCCATAGTCCAAACCACCCCCTTGGCATGCTTGTATGAAAAACAGTTTTGGTTTACCTACAAATTCCGATCATAAGTAGGTAATCTAAACGACTCATATTCAAAGCACAGGAAAAAAATCACTACGAAGTGTCAAAGGTCAAAGTGAAAAAATCACTACGAAAAAATAAAGGAGAATAAAGTAAATAGTTGCAATAAGCTATTATACATAGATACAAGCAAATTAGTTCAATCTATGAATTAAACTGGCTACTCAGACCATAATGATAAGGTATAGTTGATTACCTATAGAAGATACCTTTTCGTGGTGAAATCGTATTTCATTATCATCATTTTATTCACATCCTGGAAATAACCAAATATTGTACAGTGTGTCCAGTTCTCGATGCTTTTGGCGATATCTCAGTTATCTTCAGAGATGAGATAGAGTGTTAATTGCGATTACTTGTGAAAAACAGAATTTTCACAGTCCTTCATGTTTTTGGGATACAGGGCGAAGTTGAGAATTTTCACTTTTTGAGCACCTCCCGTATCTTGGTTACTTTCCAACTTATCGGCAGGATGAGAACCTGGGCCTTATATGAATTTTTACGTATAATACAGTAGAGTATTCGTTTCATTTCTGTAATCAGTCATTTTTAGAAAATGGAGCCGACATTTTTTTTTTCAAATGGGACAATCTGTATATTTCTCAGTATAGTTCTGGTTGACTCTGACATGTGTCACTTATTCTTTGACTTTGTATTTCCTTGTGATTTATGATGTTTCTGGTCCCTTGAATTCTATCTTAGCTTCCATTTGCTTTTCGCATTTCTTGATGAATCTCACGTGAGAGAATTTTTGAATAATAATTTTTTCTGATGTACTTCGCCAATAACCCAATTTTAATTTGGTTTTACTGGACATTCTCCAGATTTTTCTCAATATGTTATAAGGTTAGTATATGATTGTATGACTCTTTTTACCCCATAACATTGTCTATTATTATATTTTAGGTACTCATATATTACATCAATTTTGTGTCTGATGATGGCCTGTGGCCGAAACTAGTCAATTATGTCTCACAACTCTTGACGTGAATTTACCCATGTATTTGACTTTCTGCTCAAGATACAACAAAACTGTGTAATCCATGTTTTTTGTCAAATCAGTTTCGATGTTATTCTTGTGATTAAATGTTGAATCAATAAGTTTAGCATCAGAAATGTATTGTTGTTTTCGGTTTTCAATTAATACATGATTATTTTTCATAATACTCACTCTAATACATAGCTTTATACCAGCAACAGTTACCACTTTATCATTTTCGAATCGAAATATTCCGAAAACGGAACACAGTATCGAGTTTTACCAAGAGTACCTTTTTGGTGTAAAATTGAATGATGTTCAAGTTCACATCAAATTTGGATTGAAAAATCTAACCTCAAAAAAGTTAAGTTCAAAACTACTCGGTACGAACCGTGTAACTAGCGCCCTCTATGAGAGTCAGATATAAAAACAAATGCATGCGATGTGTCAGATTCCAAGAAACATCCATACACAATTTCATCACAATGTTGCCAGTAGTTTCGACATAATCTTGAAAAATGTGTAAGCAAATCATTTTTTCAACACCTTGTATCTTGATAAGGGATGCCGTTACGAATTTTATTTACTGAGTAAACCCAACTCATTTTGCACTGTTCTACCTACCCTAGTAAGGGGGTCAGGTTTTTCTGAAACAACCTGTATAAAGCAATCGATTGAATTCTAAAGTATAGCACTCGACGAAATTGGAGATGTTCACCTACACATTATTCTATCCCCCTGTATACCTATTTACTCGCCTAATCAGGTAATACACATTTTTATAAGAAATAAAAGTATCACACATGATCAAAGCATACTTTGGGATATGTCATGAAAAATAATTCAAATGTGAAACATCCTGTATTTTCACAGTAAGAAAAAATCTAAGGTAGGTCTGTGGTATAATAGCTACTTTCAACATACAAAATATAATAAAATTGATAGATTTATTATCCTTTATTACGAATTCAACTGAATTTAAAAAATCACCATTTCTATTTAGAATAATTATCCTTATTTTTCTGTTCCGACTGTATTTTTGTGATAGGTAGATACACTACTTTTGTATCCGACTGTACACATTGGTCATCATTGGATTGGATGACTGATAATTTTTCATTTGAAAATCAAGTCACCTGATGTTTGTTCGTGTTTTGACGTGTTAAAACAAAAAACGAATTTTTTGCCACTTCATGCCGCATTCTTTTTATAGGTACGCGCTATCCGTGAAGTGTTCATTGTGCAATGTGCGGTGCTTGAAGCTGGTGATTTTCCAAAAATCAGTGCGGGATTTTATAACAATGATTCGTTAACGAGTGAAACTTTAGTGCCTATACCTACCTATGCCTACGACAAACTTTGTGTTGTGCGTGGTTTTGAGAATAAGGAAAAAATGCATACCTACCTACCAGGAAGATTTAAGGTAAGTTCCTTACAATAAGTTAGAAACCTCGTTCTTGGTGAATAGAAAATTAGGGGAAAATGGTCACAATTTATTATGAGAATTTAAGTATGAAGGCGTTTGCTGGCATATATTATACTATGCAAATTGAAACCAAATCATAGGTAATGATGATTATTTTCCGATGGAACCTTTTTCGAAAAATGTTGGTTTATGTATGAATATGAATTTTTTTCTGTGACGGGAAAAAAGTTTGGCATTTCATCTCTGTTGGCAGGTTATAAAATGTCACTTTTCATAAATTACTTTTTTCCCGTGGAAAAAAAGTGAGTACTTTTTTCCCGGATATATATCACATATATTTACTCTGTTAATGGCTTTTGTTGTGCTATAGTTCCGAAAAATGAGTCAATAATACCGTCTCCGAGAAAGAACTGCAAGTCCTTTTATCTTCCATTCGACTTCGCGGTTTCGTATATTACTAAACAACTACTGAATTCGCAATTTTTCAAAATCAAATCACAGAATTGAACTGACAGAAGTGACATCAGATATTTGATTACTTCAAAAGAATGATAAAGATGTCTATGAAACGCAGGTGTCCCTACTGTTAAAAACTTGAAATTTCACGTTGATAATTTTCAGATTTCGAAATACTGTAATATCTTCTCAATATTGATTCGTCCTTCCTTCTGTCACAGAAAAAAATAGTGTATTATACACGGGAAAAATATTACACTTTAGCTCACGGTTTTTTGTCTCCCTCCGCTACGCGTCGGGAGACAACACAACCTGGAGCTAAAATCTACTACTTTTTTCCCTTGTATAATAAATAACTATTGATGTATATCAAAAGTGGTTTTCTTTCAGCTTTCAGATTTATTTTCAGTACGTTCAATACCAGTTTTTGACTTGTGATACTTGTGATGTATTTATTGTAATGAATCAACTCCTACACCAAAAACGCTATTTGACGACGACGTGAATCATTTTGACATCGATAAAAAAGAATGCACCTTTTTTATCGATAATAAACTGCCAACTCCTTTGATCTAGTAGCTATTTGAGCGTGATGTCACTCCAATTTCTGTCGTGTCAAGTTTGATTGATGGGTATGGTTCACGCGTAAATTAGCAAGATGAGCCGTTTTAGGAAAATTTCGTCTGAAGAAACCACGAAAATATGAGAAAATAAATTCCGCAAACTACCGCAGTTACACGGAATCACCAATAATGTAATCATTATTGTTGTTTTTTTTTATCCCCTATAATGTTGATTTACCTTGCCAAAAAACACTGTAACTTTTTTTTTATTGAATAAGTTTCCTTACTGACATTAGACAAAATTGCTCGACATTCGGTCTCGCAATTTTTTCATGTCAGTTTTTCTCGTGTAATTACTGATCGGCAAATGTTTTTCGTTACCAAGAAAAATTTATCCGATAAAAAAGCGGTAATTTTGCACTTATCATGCGATGGGTTTTTTTTAGAATTTTTTTTTGTTCTTACGTATTTTTGTCTGAAAAACACGAATTTGATAATGAAAATGTGAACAAACCACTATTTATCGAGATATTTCAAGAAAAAGTTCGAAATTTTGCATTCTTTTCCCCCTTGTGTTGGATGCATTTACAGGTACTTGCTTTTATTTTTTTATTTATTGACGATTGTAAATTGCATTGAAAGTTGCTATTTTTATTTTGTCATTGGACACTTTATATACTCAAGGTGTACTTCAATGACACATTTTAAGATGGAAAATTCAACAGGAAATATGATTTTTATGGCGAGTTTTCCTATTTAGTGAGCAAGCAGCATACCAGATGACGGCCATTTAATCCATAGGCAATCCAAATACGAGATGTCAAATGTCAATAGATTGCTTTGGAATGACATTACACACGCCATCATTTCAAATGATATTCTTCCTTCTTTTCACTAAACATGGATAAATCACAAGAAAATCATATTTGTAGTTGACTCATATAATAAAAAAAATGTGTCCACATTGTGTGATATATATAAATTGTCCAATGATAGAAAAAGAAGGGCAAATTGTTCTAAATGCGATCCAAAAGACAGGCGGAAAAGAAGGTGAAATTTGTAACTGTATAGTGAAATATCTCAATGAATAGTGGTTTGTTCACATTTTCATTATCAAATTCGTGTTTTTCAGACAAAAATACGTAAGTACCAAAAAAAAATTTCGAAAAAAAAACCATCGCATGATAAGTGCAAAATTACCGTTTTTCCTTCCACCCTGTATATTCGAAATTGGATGAAAGAGCTCTGCCATTTAGGAAAATAAAATACAGGTTGTTCCATTTAACGATTACCAGTTTACCAAAACGTGATGTTTATCAAGTTGATGAGTTATTTCAAATGTCAATCATTTATCTCTAAAACTAGAGGAAAGGGGGTGTATCGCTATGATTGTTACACCCAGTATATTCAGATATTTATCAATTCTTAGAAGACAATATGGCGTCTACAATTTTCAAGTCAGCTATTCAGATTATAAGTAAATAAATTCAAATTGAAGTGGCAACAATGACAGGAGAACAGACATTCTTTGTTTTCTTTTGTTTCCTTTTGTTTCAATCTTCTATTTTTTTAGAATTTCTTGAATCATTCACAACAAAAACATGGGAATGTAAGTGGCTGGGAATCAGATATACTGTTTTCTTTTATCACCTACCTGCTAGAGACAGACACTTATCAGACGTGAACCTATCAAAAAGAACTTCTTTAGGATTGTAGTTTTGATCTTTTGCACTAAGCTTGTCCACATCTCCATGGGAAAGAACCACCATTACAAAACAGTCATATTTGTTGTGATCAGTTTGGACAGCTGAAATTAAATGAAATTCCTTAATTGGATTCAATTTCAGGAATAAGATCTTGTACAACATATTTTTGTACTTATTTGGAAAACTTTTACTGGGAATCTTCATGATTTTTTCAGACCTGATCAAATTTTTTCTCTGTTGACCCACAAAATATTATGATTAATTTTTATTTTCAAATGCAATGACCTCTACTTGTTCTACAAACATTTGTTTGAGAATTTCAATATTTTCATTTAAAAAAAGGAGGTGAATGTGACATCCTGCAAATTTAAATGAGGAAATTTTGAGTTTTTAGTGGAAGTTTTCTCAAAAACATTTTCATGAAAGTTTTTTGACAGTTTTTTGAGAAATATTTAGACATTTTGAGGGTTTTTACTTTAGATTTCTTACCAAAGTCAACTTGGAACTCAATTTCCTCCAATCTGAGATCATTGAAAAGATGTACATCAAAGTCCAATTTTCTGAAACAAGATTCCAGTTTTCTGGCATCAACATCAGTACCCTTGCGTTCCGGATTTTCTACTGGATCCTCATATTTTTGGTGATTGAATATGAAGGCCAATCCTCTTATTTTACGATTCATATTGTAATACATTGCATCTCTGCTGGAGGACATAAGAGCTGTACCTCTTGGCAATGGACTATTTGTATCAGGACTGAAATCAGGACTATCAGGAGAGTCACTGAAATATTAATACAAAAATATAGGAAGTAAGATTACAAATTAGTTTTGATCACAACTGCATGTTAGTTTATACAGTATGTCTGGAAACAGATGGAAAGCTTTTTCGTTTTCAATTTTAGGAAAAGAAATACTTCTTAGTTCTGCAAGGCCTAAAACTGAAAATGCAACTATCATATATCATTTTCGTTCAGTTATATACAGTCAGTGCCAGTTTTACCAGGGGTCTTTTGGGTGCTATAGCACCAGGCGGCAAAATCTTCAGGGCGGCTATATGAAAATACAACTGCCCATCTTTTGTCATCAGTCATTATCTGGATATTTTGATTTTTAACGCGAAAGATTTGATCACTACACTACCTTAACTGAAATTTGTGTTAAGATGTGAATCATCCCAAGAAAAGCACAATTAGGAGAAAAAATAAGGCAAAAAATTCGAACCAGAGAGAAAAGTGGCGGACACAGTGTTTTATTTCAAGTTGCAGCTTTGAAATTTTTCGTCGGACTTCCACCTACAATTCTCTCAATCAACCATTTTACTTTCTGTTCAAGATAGTGTCAGCAGAGAATGGAAATTTGATCAAATTGGCAACTGAACTACAAAAAAAGTCTGTAGACGATCTGGACAAACTTGTTTCTGACGAATGTTATTCATCTGAAAAAAAAAAAACAGTTTTCTTTCCTAGAGACTAAAACATAAACTCCTATTATGGAATTAGTCCAAGTTCTACACGAGAATAATTGTAATATAATATCTTCTTTTCCCAATATGAATATTTGTTTTCGAAATTTTTGAGCTATCAACTTTGTCTCAACTCAAACAAGATCTACTAAATGAAACTAATGTATAGAGCTTGTGAAGAGTATCATACATAAAGGCTTGCATTATAGCAAGAAAACACATTTTTGTATTGTTACTCTATGTTTTTGTCCATCATAGCACCAGGCGACAAATCACCTTAAACCGGCACTGTATACAATCAAGTAGGGTCATCTTCAGTGATATACACTGCTCGCCAACAGCCATGCATTGATAACCACCCCAATTTCCGGAAAATGATATTAGGAGTCAGAATAGGTTGAAAATCACTGTTCATAGTTTTCCCAGAAAATTTCCAGTTCAGAAAAATGAAATTTTGTCTCACTTCTCATGGAAGCACCCTCGTATCCCACGTAATTATTGAGTTAGGGTTCTGAAATTTGCAGGAGGAAGGGAAAGTCCAGAGATAAAGTCAATTACGTAAGATACGAAGTGCTTCCGTAAAAAGTGCGACAAAATTTAAGAACTGAAAATTTTCCAGGAAGAATATGAATAGTTAGTGAATCGGGCGTCCTGATCCCGAATCTTACTACTTGATTTTCGACCTATTTTGACTCCTAATATCATTTTCCGAAAATTGGGGTGGTTCCATATGGCTGTTGGCGAGCAGTGTATATCAAGGAAGATGACCCCACTTGGCCATAGAGTGAATTTTTGGTATACCTCTCGCTCCAGCAAATTTCAGGATCCTTACCCAACGATTACGTAAGATACAGAGGGGTGTTTCCATTAGAAGTGAGTCACACTGTATATTAAAATTAGAAAATTATCAACGTGAAATTTGAAGAATTTAACAGGCATGCCCTCTTCTTGCAGGCATCTTTATGATTTTTTTGAAGTAATCAAATATCTGTTAGCCTAATTCTGTAATTTGATTTTCAAAAACTGCGAATTTAGTGGTTGTTTAGTAGGTAATTTACGTAACCGTAAAGTATACCCTTTTTTCCCATGTGAAAAAATTATTTATTAAAAGTGACATTTTATAACCTATCTGTCAACAGCATGAACAGATGAAATTTCAAACTTGTTTCCCGACAATATCGAAAGTTGTGCTAGAGCTAGATGCACAAATCACACAGGGGATAAAAACGTCATTTACCCACTGTGACGACACTGGAAATATTATTTCGAATCTAATTGCACCCGAAGAAGCTCCATATTACTATTAACAAAATCACGTTTTATTGAAATTGATGGAAAGACAATAATTGAGTAATGAATAAAAAAACGATCATCTTTCATGGAAATATTAATACACCCTCTGTATCTTGAAAACGAAGCAAGTTAGGACACATGTTCATATGAACTATATTTCCTAAAATATCACAAGGAATCACCCCTTGAATTTTTTCGGTGTTATTTAGATACACCCTGTATATCCGATATCTGATAAGTATTAGCAATTTCGGTTTCAGGCTGTGCAGAACTTTTCATGAAGTAGGTAGGTATGACTTATTTTTTCCTAAAATTAATAACAAAAATGCTTTCCATTTGTTGTCAAGTTTTTTAGACATACTCTGTAGGTATACAGGGTGGCAATTTGAAAACTTTCAATGGAAAAATCTGGCAATATGAAAAAAAGTGAAAAAACGCCATTTTGGCACAAAATGTTATGGAGCTGTAGGGAAATACCTATAACCACCATATCTCTTCAATAGATGTCAAATGGTACTTCCCCATTTGTGATACCTCAACAGAGAGGTTTTATTTAGTTATATAATATATTCACCGGCCTGTACATGAGTTTTTTCCATACAAACATTCTTGTACAGGTGAATACTACTAAATAAAACCTTTCATTTTACATGACGGATAGTACCATTTGACATTTTGAAGTTGAAGATTGTATCATCCCTTTTCAATATTCACATTGGATAATGTTTCAAATATTCAAATTGACACTGTGTATATGTTTTGAATATTTTCTTATGGATATGCCCTAAACCCTAAACGTGCCTAAACCATTGTTTGCTAAATATGGAGAAAAAATCTAGTGAGCTGGAGTTACAGCTGGAGTCACAGCTCACTAGATTTTTTCTCCATATTTATAGCAGACAATGCCCCGGTATTTATAGGTCGGTCTGATTTAAAAATTGGTGTCAGAAAGTCGAAATAACTCGAAACTGTCAAGTACCTAATTAGTGTGATAAATAAATCAACCTGTTGAAGTGTTGAATAAAGCAACCTGTTGAAGTGTTGAAAGTTTTTCCTTCTGTTTGTGTAAAAGTGTAGTGTATAAAGAGGTTGATGGTTTGTTGCTTCTTTCACTTACTTGTAATTTCTATTATTACCACTTCTGCCAATGCAATTTCCATCTAAATTGTCCATATTATTATTATTATTATTATTATTATGAGCTGGATACTGGCTAGAGACTGAAAATGAAATGAAGATTTTTTGTTTATAAAATCGAAGCATAGACAAATTATCTTGATCTACCTCGCTGCAATAAAGTTAAAATGAAACAATCTTAAATTATTATCAATCTTGATAATGACAAGAAACCCAACCCAACTAAATTTGAACTTGAACTTGCACAATCTTGTCCAAATCAAATGAAATATACTTTATCTTGTGATTGTAAAGTTGTGAATCCTCTATCTTCATGGTCGGAGGTTGGAGGTTGTTAGAGGGGGATTAGAGGAGCATAAATTAGGAGATTTATGAAAATATGAGCGACTGCCGACTGAGCGCCTGAGCGGGAGCGGGATACATTTCATATAACCTTACATTTTTTATCACAATCACAGTAGAGAGCTTACTTCAGCTTACAGCTGTGTCACAATGTTGCCAGCTGGTTCAGAATTTTCATTCTGGATTATTAACTTTTTTTACTCCAAAAATCATTTCGAATGATTCGCAAACTATAATTTTGTCTAGGTACCATCTAAAATCAATTTGCATATTCAAACTATTCCAAACATTGAAAACAAACCACTGCTGACTAGTTTGTTGACGACGTCGACAACTTAGTCACTATCATCTTAATATTCTTTATGAAGCGGGACCTTAGATCATGTAACGAAATCGTTGCTAATAGGCGTTGATGCCGACGTAGAGAAAAAATAACACGAAACTGGCTGTTTCCATCCTTCACTTCCCGTCCTTAAACTTAAATTCTGTGCGGATTGTTCACATTCACTATATAGGCGACTGAGATTAAGATCGTAGCGCCAGAACGGCGAATGTCGGTACTACTCTATGGGCCATTGGCGGATTGTTTACATTGTTTGGTAATGGTGTTTATGTTCATTTCGTTTTGAGTTTTCAAATGTTCAGCTTTGTTATTTGTCTATTTTCGAACTTTGTATTTTCCAGCGGTCTATTGTGTTTTGATTGAGGACTATATATTATCTCTGTTCAACATTAGACAACCTCCCTACCTCTAGTTGAACTCCATATATATACCAACATACATAAGCTGTAAGTTTTTATCATTATCGAACAAGGATTCTCATGAAAACCTGTGTGGGATGTTGATTTCCAATCCGAATATATGGCTGGGTTATTCCCCTGATAGCATGATATTTAAAAAAAAAAACAACATACTTTTTGGGAATAAAAAAGGTATACAGTTTCTACTTGACTTTTTACAACATAATCATCAAAACCCTGATTGATAAAATTATTTACTGTTTAAAAATTCTACTGTTCATGAGTAAAGATATAATCAGTTCAAAATTTGTTCGATTTTTCACCATCACCTCAAGAAGTAGGTATTGTATTCATAATAGACATACATTTGAGAAGTAAATTTTCAGTGAAGTGTAAAAAACAATATCTCATTATGTTCAGACACTTTTTCCAATCTTCAAGTTATCAATCCACACCTTTCTCCTACCGATCACTTCCTTGTTTCCCAAATTATTAGTTCAAATACAAATTCAGACTGTCCTGATTTTTGAAAGGAATAAAAACTATACTCGGGATTTTTTTGCTCAAGATGAACAATGAGGTACACAACAATAATGACTCATGTTTTTAAACGTTTATAGAAGTTCTCGAACAAAATTATAGACAATTAAAACACAACTACTTCTCATACAAAATACACGCAAACTAATGTAAACAAAGCAATCAATGGCCCATACGTTAGTTATATTAGACAACGGTAGAGGGCGTACTCCTTAGCATGAATCGCCTATTGGAAATTAGCTTTTTTATATAAAATCTAAATGTTAGATCATTGTTCGCTTATTGATCTTGAAACGAATTTTTATGTGACCAATCAGATTCCAAAATTTCATGATTCCATTGTCACTGTCAGTAGTGTCAGTGTCAGTCGTGTCAGTGTCAGTCGTGTCAGTGCCAGTCGTGTCAGTGTCAGTCTAGGTAATGTGTCATGTGCCATATGTGTGACTTGTAAATGTAAGTAAATACAATGTTTATTTTTTAACTTTTTGAAATTTATTGATTGATCTCGTTTTGTATTGTACTACTAAATAAAAATGTCGTTGAATGAAAGGTAAGTATAGTGAAATATTACATTGAAATCATAAAAAAATGGATGTTTCAGTGTCCAAGAAGAACTAGAAGTTTTAGAAGCTATTTTGATGGATGATATTACCATATCCTATGATGAGAAGTATGTATTGTATAGCATTCATTATTCAGCTCTCTCTAGGTGTACCATATGTTTATATATTCCAGGAATCGCCCAGAGATAGTAAAAACTACTATATTTCCTTCTACTGCTGATGAAGTGGATAAACAGTATGTTTGTGTTACATTAGAAGTCAACCTTCCTGAAACCTATCCAGATTGTGAACCTTCAGTTCAATTGAAAAATCCTAGAGGCTTGGATGAGTCCACAATCAACAATATACAAAAAGCCATTAAAGACAAATGTATGGAATTTTTAGGGCAACCTGTTATCTATGAACTCATAGAAGTAAGATTTTACTCTGCCATTTTGAAATAGTGTATTGATTGATGATTTGGTGATGTACAGGTTCAATTCTTAATATTCAAACAAAACACATTGTTCAACTTCAATTAAAAATCATTGATTTTTTTTGTTTCAGTTGATTAGAGAAAGCCTAACTGAGAGCAACTTGCCGACCTGTCAATGTGCAGTATGTTTGTATGGGTTTTCAGAAGGAGATATCTTCACTAAAACCACATGTTTTCACTATTTTCATTCCTATTGTCTGGCAAACCATCTTGTCATCACCAAAAGACTCTTTCAAGAAGAACAAGACAAGTTACCTGCCTGGCAAAAGTCTGTCAAAGAATTTCAGGTAAGTGCTTGACATAAAATAAAATACACCTATATAATGGTTTTATTTCCATGAAAACAGTCCTTTGTAACTGTTTTTTTTTAGGCAAGCTGTCCAGTTTGCAGAGAAAGCATAAGCTGTGATGTAGAAGAACTCAAATCTGCTCTTCCACCCAAAGATCTAGAGAGTGCTCAACATTTCCAAGTCACCAGTGATCTGAAAAAGTTGCAGGAAGATATGAGACAGCTTTTCATTTATCAAAAAAACAAGGGGGGAATCATTGATATTGAGGCTGAAGAAAATAAGTTGTTACTCATAACTGCAGGTGATGGTGATAGTGTTGAGGTCAGTTGAATCAACCTAATGATAAAAAATATATTGCTAGCAGACCTTCCTGGTTTGACAGGTCCAATATTACATGTTTTTCCTCATTTTCCTCTGGTTTTGAAGATGAATGATTATAGTAATAAGTGGTACTTTTTGAATCATAACTGCTTTTGATTTTTGAATGGTACATCCTGTATACTATTTTATTTTTGAATTTTGCACAACTTTCTTAATGTAATTATACAACTCTAGTGAAATTTTCAAAATAATCACCATTTATTTCAACTCAGATTGAATTTCATTTCATTTTCAAACATTTTCATTATGTCATATTATTAATAAACTGCTTATCAACAATACTTGAATGAGTACCATTCAGTTCATGTTGATGATAAATATACAGGATACAGGTTGTTTTTGGAAATGGGTCAATACATGAAAGAAGAAAACAAAACAAAAT